AGGCTATGGGGTCTGACACATACAATCCGCCCGTCGATTAGCTCTTGGAAAAGGACACTTTTAAATTTTGATGAAGTCATCAGTTTTATAAGAAGCATTGGGCCTTTATATTTCTCTATACCAATATTACATTGAGCTTATGTAACACTAAGGCAAATACCTCCGTTTGATTTATATAACTCTATAAAAGGTCCAGATCCCGAGATTAAAAAAAATCCAGGTATAACTCAAGATTCAAACGCTTCCTTTATCCTAGGTGCCCTAGCGTACCACAGATTACGTATTCTCTAAAGTATCAGCATTGCAACATTATTCTTCACTCTTAATGAAATATTCTCTCGCACGCTAAGATCCTTTAGATAAGGCATATCAAATTAAATTGATTAAAAGTTTAAACTAAGGGGCTCACAATCGTAGTTGCCATGGTATCTCTTACGTCACAGCAACTATTGATGTAACCTAGTCGTTGTATGCTGTTTCAGGTGTTATGTTTGAAAAATGTACTCTAATGCGTAGCGTGAGCTATGCAAATAGGCAAGTAGTCACATTTCTTGTTTAACATATAAAAAAAGCTAGCATGACCCATTTTTATTTTCATCGATTCATCGTTCATTGGGAGTCTGAACGTTAAAAATCAACTGAATAAAGCAAAGAATTTAAGACAGGATGCTTCCATAAAAGTCGCCCCGACAATACTACCAAGTTGCGAAAAGAGGTAAAGCCGCTTCCATAAGGCAAAAGGAGACTGCGATTAGAAGAAAAGCCACACAAGTCTGATCTTCATACATTCGATCAGTGATTACAATGTTTGAGGCATTGCCTGACATTTTCCTAATATAATCCAATGAAGAGCTATTCTCGTCTCTGAAACCAATGATGCCTCACGAGTTTAAACGCTAGTGCGGGTAGAGACCATGTCGAAAGACAAGAAATCATCACCTTTACTACTGCGACAGTCAAGAATGACGGTAAGTTAGAGGGCAGGTATGGCTTAGTAGGCAGATCAGGTCTCTCTTAAACCACATCTCTAGTAAGACCAGTTTTAATATAACATATTTAAATTTGTTATTGCAATATATAATAATGATATAATATGAAATGTATTAACCGTATTTCGTTTAAGGTGATAAAGGATTGTTAGTATAATTTTCCCACAATGATATGAGTTGAGCTGACGTTTCCATTGAATTTCACATAGCCTTGCT